TCTAAATATCAAATTAAACCTTCTGCTTACCACCCATATACATTGCTTTGCTTATCACTCATAAGCATCTTAAAGAACTGACTGTAACAATATTATCAATTATCATCATCATGATAATGTATTTCAAAATGCATTTATTGTAACAAAAAAATATTCTTATTGTAAAAAAGATTTAATAGGTTTAACTAATAAAGCATTTATTTTTCTTTTAGAATTATTTATAAAGGTTAATAATAATATTGAAAAAAGCAAATGGATAAAATTAATCAATATAAAAAAAATAAGCTTTCATATTATCTTGCAGTTCTTAATATGAAATGTAGATAAATGACATTTACCAGTGGCTTTTAGTTCAGAATATCTACTATTTAATTTATTAGAAAAGTGTCATCTTCAAGGTTCTTGTAAAATATTACAATCAGCATCTAATGATTTTATTTCTTACAATTTAATGAAGTTTATTTCTTTTCTATGTGATTATATTTATTATCAATATTGTTTACAATATCTTAAGTATAAAAATTAATAAAATTAATAATAATGTAAAATCTATTATTTTTAGAATTACTGAAAAAAATTTTAAAGTTGAATTTAATTAAAAAGATGAAATTCAATTAATAGAAAATGATGAACCTGAAGATTAATAATAAAAATGAACCAAACAAAATCAATTATTTTAATGATAATTAGGAAATGATCGACATAAAAATTGACCAATCATACAAATGTCTGCCATGCTGGTGACAAATAACATTTTAAATGAAATATAGTAGGTGTGATAAATAGCAACTTAATCTGTATACTAACTATATCCATGATTTAATTGGCTAATTATCACGTGCCTATAATTGATTTCAATATAGTGGCAGGAAAAAAAAACCTAAACGCGACTAGTTTATAATAAAAGCGCTAAATATGTTAACACGTTCTTCGGCACCAAAGAAAAGAAGTTCAGACTCTAGCTCTAAAAACTTATCTCCTTCTTCGCCTATTGGACCTCAGGAATTGATATTTCGTAATTTCCGTCTTCGTCGAATTGTTAAAGAAAATCATGGTCATGATATAAATCAATTGGCTTTTTTTTTCAATTTAAATCATTATACTGCACCAGTTGGCGCTCTATACAAGAAAAAATTTAATAAACTTGGATACGTTGAAAGAAATGTTAGAGATACCAGCAACGTTTTGGCTAGTGTTGGTGATATACAGGCGAGTAATACCTGGAATTTATTTAATTTATCTTTATTGTTATGAGCTAATCCATTTTTTTTTTTTTAGTCGAATATTTATGACAATGAGCATTGTGGGGACCATTTAGATATTATGTCAAATTTCGTTGTAGGAAACAATTTGAATTTGGAGTCTGGGGTAAGTGACTCTCAAATCGAATTTTTCGAATTTGCTATTGAATAACATATTTTTAAACATAACATAGGAATTAATGACGTGCTGTTGGTTACATCGAGACGATGATGCATTACTTGCTTTAGGTGGAAAATCACGTGTCATATATATTATCTCCATTGCACTTTCCAGTACTCCGAGAACATTATGGGGGCATACTGGTATATTTTCTTTTATTTTTTTTTTTTGTTTTTCAAAGATATTTTATTTTTATCTTATACTCAATTGTTTTTTAGATTGTATTACGGATATTCAAAAACATCCTAAAGACGATCAACATATATTGTCCGCATCAAAAGACGCAACTGTACGACTTTGGTATGTCGATAGTGGCCAGTGTCTATACGTGTTTCAAATTAAGGCCTCAGTGACAGTGAGTTCGCACTCTTTATAATTCTTGAAGGCTTGTTACATTTTATTGCTTACTAAATCTTTGATCTTATAGTGCTGGCATCCATCTGGTCAATCATTCCTGACTGGAAATTATAATGGAGAGATTAGAATTTGGCAAACTCCAGATTTATTAACACCACCGACCGAATCATTAAATATAACCGAAAACGATATTGAAACGCGATCTAGAAAATGTCACTCAAGTCAAATAGGTTATTATTCTCGACTTTTCTCTTTGTGTTTGTAGAATTAATCTTGTTAAAAGAATATTTATCAACACATTTATATAGATTGCATACGATTTGCTAATCAAAATGTAATATCCAAATCTTTAAGTGGTAAAATCGAATATTGGAATTATGATACACTAGAGGTAATAAAAGCTTTTTCCATTAAGAATAATTCTCCAAACAGATCAAGATTTGACGTGAGGTAAGATTATTTATCATTTAGTAGTTGTTCTTTTTGTAAATTATTTCGAATCTTTATAAGTAAATTCGTAATTTAAAAAATTAGTCTTGACGAAAATTTTTTGTGCGTGGGTACAAGTAATGGAAGCGTCAACATTTATAATATTTTGAATGGTAAACTAATTTCAGAACTTAGTCATCGTAGATCAACAAAGGCTGTAAGGTGTTGTGCATTTTCCAGAGATTGCAAGTATGTGTAAATGGCCATAAAGTGTTTCTTTGTTCTTTGGTTTTTTTTTATTAGTAATAAAAATTCATGTTATTACTTTTTAATAAAATTTAGGCAAGTTATTGCAGCTGGAGAAGATGGTTACATATGGAGATATGATTATATTAGTGACGAAACACTAGAGATTAATTAATAAATCAGTTAACTAATGATATGGTCAACTTTCTTATTATTTTTTTTTTTTTTTGCCAATTAAATAATATTCAAAAACTTCTTTTATTGAGAATATCTATCTTTAATATCTTTCCATTGTTTCTATAAAATAAAATAAAATTTCGAAATTAATGGATATTTAATATCCAATTGTATATTATAAAAAATTAAAATTCATACGTACGCCCTTATTCATTCTGTCCCACCATCTATCCGTGGCAGTATCAAAGGCCATTTCAAAAGCAAATGCTGTTGCGAAAATTCCGACCATGAAGACCGAGTTTCTTCTAAAAATTGTTCGGTATACACTTCGAGAGAATCTAATAGTAATATGATAGCAAAAATTAGTTTAAAATAGTCAGCTATTTAAACGAATGATTATACTTACTTTTCAAGACCGTTATTTCTAGCGTCCATTATGAAATGTTAAAATGGAAAATTAAAAGAGGTAAATAAAATAAATGTTTTTTTTTTTAATGTACTCTTAATATCGGATCGGCATTCTTAATAATTCATCACGTGATTAAATATTTGGGATGTGCATAAAAAAATTTAATAAGGAATCGCGTTTCTTTTTTAACTTTTTTAACTTCTTTTTTTTTTTTTTAAAAAAAAAAAAAAATTATAGGAAAACTTTCACGAACATCATGGCTGAGGCTAATAGTGGAGGAAAACCTAAGTTGGTTATTGATCGTGAAAAGGTATTTTTATCTGAAACTTTAACAGATCTAACTAAACTGGTCGTGTGAAATGATCCTTTATTCGACATAATGTTGTTTTGTAGACAGTCCCATTTCTATTACGAATGTTTTATCGGTTGAATTATCACCATAGGTTTATTTTATTGTATTTTTATTTTTTTATTAGAAAGGATATCATATTCTATTGTATAGATTAATAATTGATCTTTTTTTGTATAGGATCGATGATTTTACACCTGAACATTTACCTACCGAGGATGAAGTGCAGATATATACTTGGTATAATTAAAAAGGACTATGATATGATTTTTTTTTTTAAAAGAGAAAAATTTTCTCTTTCTCATACATTCCTTCTTAAAAATTCATATAGGAAGGATGCCACGTTAAAGGAAATTTCTAATTTAATTAAAGAAGTAGTTCAAGATGCTAATAGACCAAATGCAAGATTATCATTTAAATTAGTATATATCGATAATTTACGTGGTAAATATGCATTTAAAGAATTAGGTACAATTCACAATGTAACCTCATCAACAACGCCAGATCAAGAGGGAATAAATCTTGATGATGCGAGATTTGTTATTGGAGATTTTATAGATGTAGCAATATTTTTTGGACCACCACCAAGAACTGTTGAAAGAAGGGGGAGTGTTCTTAGAGACAGAAATAGAGAAAGGGAAAGGGAAAGAGGCGGAAGAAATTATCGTGGTATTGGTGCTGGCAATGATAGAGATCGAGATAGAGATAGGGAAAGAGATAGGGAAAGAGATCGAGAAAGGGATAGAAATGGTATGAGAATTGATAGGGACAGAAGAGATGATCGAAGAGATAATAGAAACTTTAGAGATAGAAGACGATAATTTATAAAATTTTGATCTTTTTGATGGATACCTCTGAGCCATTCCCAACTTTTATTTTCTCGGGGATTATGATTTTAATTTGGTTCACTTTGTAAAAAATTTTTTTTTTTTTTTTTTTGGATATCTTTATGAAAGTAGACTTAAAAAATTTTAAATTCTTTATACCTTTTTTTTTTTTTTGCATTAAAACTACAAAGATTTCTTCTATCATTCTCGAACTCTCTCTCCCTCTTTTAATTTAAACATTTTGCTAGCTAAATTAAAATTTAGCGTACGAAAAAAAAAAAATAAATGGTCTATAAAATTACTTTGAAAATTATTTTATTTTGCTTAATAAAATAAAAATAAAAAATTTTTTTTTTTTTAACGTTTTATTTTCATATCTTCTTTTGTTTGACCTTTACGAATACCAGTCAGATTCCATTTAAACTGTAAATAATTTAAAAATGTTAAAAAAAAATATCTATATTTCTTTTTAAAACGACCGGTCAACAACTCACATCTTCAGTCCAACAAATAGCATATGTACCGACAGGAATTATAATGCAACTGATAATTCCTGTAATAATAGTTCTTCTTGTCCAACGAAAATGCGGATGTAAATTAGTACGCATAAAAGCCCATCTTTCAATTGCCGCATTTTTGATTAATACTAAGTTAATACAAATGAAGTGTTAGTAAAGTAAAAAAAAGGGAATCATATTTCTCATTTTTTTTTTTTTTTTTTTTTAAGGAAAAAAAAAAAAATATGTTTTTACAATTATCATGATCCCCTGCCATCTTTTATATGTATAAAACGAAATAATATTTTTTTTGAAAACTATTTATCTTTTTTATTGATTTTTATTTATATATTTTTAAAAAAATTTAACACGTGACAGTTATGTCATGAAAAAAAAATCGATTGTCTTATTGGTTCCCTACCAGCATTGTGATTACGTTCTAATTAATTTAATTGACCAACAATTAAGATGTGACAAATTAATCATAAGAAATACGGAAGGCTAAGGCTTAGAAGGAATTATAAATTATATGAAAATAAAAATAATAACGTGTAGTGAACTCCTGGCCATAGTTTGAAGGTCAATTCTAATAAATGGTATAATTGAACCTTCCTATTCATTAATACACTTGCACTACAAAAGATTAAATTTCTTTTTTCAATGGCCAATTCATGGAATCTTGATTAATACAGCGTTAAAGAAAAGAATTTAATGATAATATAAAAATGCTACATGAGAAAGATATATCGTTTCCAGATAGATGCCTTGACAATTATCCTTTACATTTAAAAAAATTCTAAATATGTTTTAATTGTATGTTGTATGTATTGTAACTTTGCTCAACTGGTGATTTTCGGAAAAAATTTGTGACACAAAATTTATTTTTACGTCACTTATGCCACAAGTAACTGGTTAAAATCTTGCAATATTTTTTCAAAGTTAAGGTTTTTACAATCGGTAAAAAAAAAAAAGAAAGAAAATTAAAATAAGTAAATACTTTTTTTGGTTCTTCAAATACTGTTGTTGTATTATTACAAATGGTAAATATTAAAAAGATTTTGTTTTTTTACAAAAAGTTAAGATTGTATCTTCGTCTTAAAGAAAATTGTCCATGGAAGAACTATATACCCTTTTTAAATGTATTTTTCAATCTTTTTGTAAAAGAACCGATTAAGTTGGATTTCTCATCATTTGAAGTCATAGTCATTTGATCATCATCGATAATAAGAACGTCACGTCTTTGATCTATCCAAAATTCTAATAATTGAGCTCCAATACCGAATAAACCACCAACAAATCCAATCGTACTCAAAATAATAATAACATTCGTATCAACAATATATAAATAATCTTCGGGTTGATTATAACCCCAAAAGGTTTTAAACGATGCTAACATTCCTCCCCGTACAAATACATCCGTTCCCAGCATAAGCAAATAACATCCTGACATAACTGTCGATATAATCGCGACATATTGATAAAATCGTTGTATACCCGCTAGCGTCGCATTAAATACTGTACATATTCCTATCCATATATATCTAAATAATTGATTTGATATTAAACCATTGGTTCTGGTTGATAAGCAGATCATCGCCAGCGAAAAACCGCCAAGTGCTCCTACTAATATTCTACCTGTTGGCCATAAACATACAAAGAAAATTCCCGCGGCTGCACCAGCCCCAGTACATATAACAAAATAAACAAATCTTAATGTTGATGATGGATTCGTCACATTTTGATATTTTAAAATAAATAATAACAAGACCATACCTATATCAAAAAAAAAAAGATTATTAGAAGTTTTCTTTAAAAAAGCAATTGGCTTTAATTATTAATAATTTTATTGTGAGGCATACATACATATTCCGTAGAATGCGGCTATAAATATCGATAACCATTTGTACTTATTTCCTCTAAATAAGCTTACAACTCCCGACACTATTAACGTTAATCCGGTTAAATAACTAGCAGCATCTAATGGATAATCATTTCCCCTTGCTATTTGGTCAAATATGCAAAGTTATTAACGGTCAGTCATAATAACATACTTGTAAAAAAAGGATTAAACTTAACTTACTTTTATTTGCGTACGGGTCTTCATAAGTAATATTTATTGGTGTTGGTGGTGGTGGTGGTAAAGGTAAATCTTCTCCTTCTCTTTCTATTACTATTTCCGGGGGTAAATCTACTCCTTCCCTTTCTTTTCCCAGAAATTCTCCTTCTCTCTCTATATTATTCCCATGTGCTGACGATATCTCATTATTTTTCCCTTGCGCCGTTACTGTTGTAAATACACTAAACAGCAATAATATTATTATTATACTATAAAACACATAGTTCTTCTTTCTTAATATTATATTTTTTCTATTATTACTTTTCATTTTTATTCAAACTTCAAATGGAAAACTTTACAATAAATAACGTCAAAGCCTTATATTATATATGTTTTCTTTTTTTCTTGTTTTGAAAAAAAAAAAAAAAAAAAAAAAAAAAAAATTTTAATTAATTAATAAATAATAAAACCAAAAAGTTTCCGTCGTTAATGAAACTTCCGCTTGGGAGACGGCAGTATTCAAGGTAAGACAGGAAAGATGAAATTTATTGAAAGGTGTTAAATTTATATGCATATTCAATTCTCGAAAAAAATGTTTATAAATATATACAGCATAAATAAACCGCATATATATTTTTGGTATTTTTGATTAACCATAAATGATACATTTTTTAAATGATCCATTACATTTATAGTAATAAATATCATAAATATAATGAACCAAATTCGTCATACGTGATACGGAAATTTCAAACAAGACGCGTATCAAGAAAATTTTACCATTTTAAAGCTTTCCTTTCGGATTGAATTCCTTGAAAAGGATTGCACTTATTTAAAAATGGCAATACTTACCTTTATAAATCAAAGAATAAAAATATTTCAAATTGAAATTCTGATATTTCAATTAAAGATTACAATTGATATTTACGCTCATTATTCCTTTTAACTTTGTAATGATCCCCACAAAATGAAAAAAAAGGAAAATAATCGACATAGGATTTAGCGTTATCACGAGTAAACACCACACGAGCTGATGATCATCTCATTTTAAATAATTAAAACAATTAAAAAATCTGTTTTAAATAATCTAAATAATCTTTTTTAACAATGTTCAAATTCCATATAAAATTTATTTAGTAAATAAACAAAAGGTAATTTATGCATGCTGAATTTTTAGTATTACACTAAAAAATGCATCCAATCGTTGATCATCTAATCCTTTCGTGATATATGATTTTAAGTCACAGCATTATAAGGAGGTTGAATAAACATTATTTGGATAGCACGAAATGATGGT